AGGAAGAGCTCGAAGTCGTCCTCGTCGGCCGGCTTCTTGCGGCGGACACTGCCGTCGTGGGTGGCGCTGGCGTGGGGGTTGGCCTTTTTCGAATGCTTCGGAGGCGCCATTGCGGTTCTATGTGGTGGTTCTCTCTCAGCCAGGGTGGCGTTAGACATATATAGATATATAATTGTTTGGGGGGGAGGGGGGATGCGAAAAAAAAAAGGGGGGGAATTTTTTAAAGGATTGCGAAATGACGGCAAAAGAGACTTTTTCCATCAAAACAACTTAACTCATACCCCTCCTTGCATGTAAAAATAAAACAATAAACAGGGCGGTATATTTTTGAAAGGAAGTGGTCCTGCACTATTCCCATTTTAGGAGAGCTACCGACTTTTACTTCCCCCTCCCCCCCTCCTTCCCCCTCCTCCTAGTGAATTAACAGCGTTATTGTCTACATTAAAAATCGCTTTGAAAGGGGTAGCGGCAGCGCTTGTGTCGCTATTTTTAAAACAAAACTCAATATAGTTAGTTTTCAAAAAAAAATGGTTCTTAATTACATCATTGCCAAGAAGAAATTATAAATAAAGAAAAAGTAATATTTGAGGCTATCGCTTAAGTGCAATAGGCTTAAAGGTTAGAAATTAATTAAAAAGAAGCTTTAGAGATAACTTGTGTGACAAAACAGGAACTTACTGGATATAATATAATAATATCATAGCGTAAGATCAGTACCAAAATGTAATGCGAACAAGAAGGATTTGTGAAAAGGTAAGACCACAAGTACACATCGCCAATCTCAGAAAATGAAATATGGCGTGGACGGTTGTGGTAGCAATAAGATATAGAATTCATTCCCCTTAAACACCTATGAGTAAAACAAATCCTACACGAGCGCACACTTCCTAAGTGAGCCTTACTTCTATCTTTCTTACCCCTTCAACACTTTCCAACGTTCTTTAGAAAGATAGGTTACGAACTATTGTTGGAAAGTCTCAATCTAAACGAAAAAAACTCTTACGATCTGAGCACTAACTTGTCAAAAAAAAAAGGTAGAAATTTCCTTCGAGGTTATATCTTTCTCGATATATGTATATATATATATATATGGTGTCCTCATCTGCGTGATCAATAGGACGCACATACCTTCAGTTAGGTTATTAGTGAAAAGCCTTTTATCAACGCTCCAAAATCAGAAAATCATACTAATACGTGAAAAGACACAAAGATGCTGTAGTAGAACTACCCATGCTCTTGTTTTCTCATTCGTTCTCTCCACCCGTAGTTCTCAAATTTATCATGCATCTTTGATCACTTTAGATTCAATTAGGGGTTTCACTTATTCATTGCGTTCCCGTCGAAGGAAATTCCGTCGCCATTCCCGATTACATCCACAATCACAGCAACCCTCGCATCCTTGAAGTTCACGTCGCCAGTTTTGGCTTCGAGTAGTGCATGCGAACGTTGCGGTAGGAATCGCTCTTTTTGTAAGCCAAACATCCTACAATGGCAACAAACATCATTGAAATATAAAATTTATGTCATCCATACACGCAGCGCTTCCTCGATTCGGTAGGAAAAAAGTTTACACCATCGGCAATGGATAAAAAGCACGGAAAGATACCGGTGCCACTTCACGGTTGTTGGTTCGCTCGATAATAGTCTATCATTTGCTACCCTAATAATCTAAACTACTCTTGAAGTAAAACAGGCCTAACGACCTGAAAGGATTTCTAAAGGGTATTTTCAAACCGGACAACCTCGTTTCAGAATTATCCTGAACGAAGGAACAACATGTTTAATAATAATACTAACAATAATAAAAGGAAGAATAATCATATTCATAAAGGTAAATGCACGTGTGCAATAATAATAATAAAAAGAGGAGACATAAGTAGAGGAATGGAAATAAGATAAACTGTCCTATGGAAAGTAAAGACTGGTGTACTTGAGAAGATAAAAAGAACACAGGAGACACTGATTGAATAGCATCTGAAGAAAAGCATTGTTTCTTTGTATTTTCCTCCCTCCATCCCTCCCTCCCTCCCTCATACGCATACTACTTTTCTACACTTTTGAATATTCCCTTCTTCAAGTACAGAGAAAATACACAAATAGATTCGTCAAAAAAATATCACTAATTTAGAGCTCACAAATCCGAGACAACAAAAATAACAAACGTCAAAATATAGGTATTAAAAACATACAGATACTGAATTTGTCAGAAAAAGACATGAAAAGTTAATCAAACATTTTTCCGGTTAACTTACCGGACTCTACCGCATCAAAAGAACTCTTTTTCGAAATAAAAGGGGTAAATGTAGAGTAT